AGGCCCAACAGTGGCAGTGCCAGCACCAGGGCTTGATTTCACAACCTTCTGATCAGTAGCCCAGAGCCTTAACCACTGAGCCACCATTGCTCACCACTGCCTCTGGCCCATCCTACACCACACTACTGAACTGCCTGCATTTTCATCACATTTCAAAGTTCAGAGGTCTCCGTTCAAAGGGGATGAGCTGAAAAGCGGGATTAGCTGGCTCAGCTGCAAAAAAAAACAAAGGCAAAATCTGGAGGAATTTCACCTCTGTAAGCAGATCAGAGCAATTGGATAGGATTACAGGTCTGCAGTTTGATAAATAAATACTGTCAGGAAGAAGAGAAAGGAGGGCTAAGCCCTTAATTAGATTTCCAATTGACCCCCTCCTCCTTCTCCTTTTCTTCATCTCATTCTTTCTTTCAGCACAAGTGTGTTTATGGCTAATTTCCAGTGAGTAGATACTTTCAACATAAGTCACTTGGACTTCTGTTTTTTTTTTCTTTGATGAGTAAAATGTCTGAGTCCTTCTGTGTCTTAGAGAGTCTCTAGGACTTAAAGGTTCATTATGGACTAAATATATCCTCTTAAAGATTTGTATTAGAGCTGCTGAATATGTAGAAAATATCACATACAGTTGTATGATGGTGATATATTTAAAACCATGGTTGGACATGGTTAAAGTGTAGTCAAGACCACCATTGTCAAGTCCAGGACTAGCCGAGATCGAGTCAAGACCAAGTCTTAAGGACTGTTGAGGCCAAATCGACATCAAGCCGTCTGTAAATGTGTGTAAAAAAAAAAAAAAAAAAGAAAAAAAAAGTCAGTTTTGAGACCAAGCCTTTACTTTAATTCATTGGCTTCATTCATGCATTGCACCATTTGTTATGCTTTCTTGAAGAAGGAATTACTTCTTGTCAAACCTTTTGTATATGAAAAAGACAACATGAACTGTGTTTTTATAAGCTTTTGGATGAGAACGAGACCATATTTAGCGGGACAAGCCCAAGTACAGAGTTCAGGTCAGTACAGAAAATGTCTTAAGACAGGACTCCAAGACCAGAATCCTGTCCTACAACAGAAGGTTTTCCTATGAGAGGGTTCAGTTAGAACTCTGTTAGTGTTCAAAGAGCACTTAAATATCCAAAGAAACTTGAAGGGATACATAAGTGTAGAATATGCTACATATGACATCTTAAATATAAAATGGGAGTTGAATATTGAGAACAGTAGCACTGAATTGATTTTTATACCAAATGTACTACCCATTGGGGCTTTTAAGCAAATAAATATGTAATAAGGTAGTAAAATACTCTTTACGTGTTATTAAAATGTCGTAAGTAGCAAAATTAGGAAATAGGATGAAACATAATGTAGACTGTTTATGATAAATGGAGGATGTGGAAATGAGGATTGTTTTTGAGTTGCTAATAGAATAAGAAGCAGCTACATAGTCAGGTGCGAACAAAAATTTTTCATGTAGCACACAAAATAATTTGAGAATTTGGTTCAAACAAAAGTCATTAAGTGTCGGTGCCTGTAATTTTGGCTAGTCGTTCTTCATTCTCACTGCGATTGATGCAGAATATGATGCTGGCAACGCTTGTGTACTGAGTCTAAAAATAATCTAAGATTATCATTACTATTTACTCACACACACACTGTGTATCATCATTGTCCTCAAAACGCCATGATGCACTGTTTGTCTTTTTGTTTTGTAGTAAAGAAGATGACGGAGCTGAAGTCCAGAGGAGTGAAGATGCTTCCAAGTAAAGACAACCACAGCAAGATTTCAGTGTGTAGGTGTTTATTTACTTTTCTTTTTTTTTTTTTTTTTTGGTGCCCTACCTCCACATTGGCAAACAGCAAATCTGTGTTTCCTACAAGTGAATCCATTTTGTTAACTAAACACAAGGCAGAATGCTACCAGATCTCTAATCACTGGGAGGATAAGGAGATTAAGGTCCTGCACTAGGGTCTGGATGGTTGTGAGTTTAACCCTCAGAACTGCCACAGACCTATTTGGGGGTTTTTAACCATGACCCTTTCAGCAGATTAGGGCCTTATGCTCTGTGAAAAGTGCTTTTGAAAAGTATCTTCAGAATCCTGAGTGTTTGTGGTTTTTCAGAAGAGTTGGTGGATCTTAGCTATCCATCAAACAATTAGTAATAGGTGAAGGCCCACATTTTATTGCGACTTGATGGAAAAAATAAAATGGTGACTTTCAATTTAGATGAGAGTGTAGCCGGTTTATTTGCTCTGGCCTCATTTGAGGAAGATCACACCATGTAATGGAAAAACTTATCTGAAAGAATTTTCTGAATATACATGTATTTGACATGTCATGCAACATGATTCAAGGCTTGTGAATTTTATGTATAGCTCATTTCCCACTTGGCCCATATTATGATATGAATGGACAAGTATAGGAAATGGAAATGCAATTAGATCATAAGCTACAAGTTTGTTTATATATATATATATATATATATATATATATATATATATATATATATATATATATATATATATATATATATATATATAAATATAATATAATATAATATAAAAAAATAAAATAAAATAAACAAACAAACTCTGGTTCCCTATGAGCCAGCTCTGTTGCATTGACTTTAAAAGAGAAAATTGACTCCAACCGACCAACTTGTTAAACACTTTTACTGACCGCATAACAAACAGGTAGAACATGTTAAGGAAATGAAATTATGCAGTGGATAATACGATGTTTTCACTATTTTCAAGATTCTTGATTTAAGATGAAACAACTCTTCCACTTTGGTGAAATGCAGTGCCACTATCTATATTAGTATCTATTTAGTGCTCCAAATATTTGTATCTGTTTCTGTATTCAGATTTTCAAGTTAAGTCAAGTGACTGTCATTTCTACCATATACAGCTGGGACAGTACACAGTGGAATGAAATAATGTTCCTCCAGCACCATGGTGCTACATAAAACAGCACAGAACTACAAGAGACTTCACATTTGTACATAAACAGAACATGCAAATGTGTGAAAACAGCACAAGAGAGTACAATAACTACTAAAACAGGACAACAGGCACAGTAAACGACTGCAGCGCCAACCAGCACACATCTCTAGTATGAAAGTGTCAGATATAAAACTTTATCTGATATAAAAAAAGAAAGTGTTGGGTAGTGCAAAGAATAACAATCTAGTAAATTGCTGTGAATGTAAGCATAACAACTATGACATAGTATTCAGCAGATAAGCTTATAGCATATGTCGACATAGCACTTATTGGGGCTGCAGCCAGGTATAGAGTATAGTAATTACAAGAATTATATACAATGTTTTATAAATACAGTAGCAGCAAAAATTGCAAAGGGAGTGGGATGGTGTTCAGAGGGGGGTGTGTGTGTGTGGGGGGGGGGTCAGTCCAGTCCAGTCAGTATTGAGGAGTCTGATGGCTTGCGGAGAGAGGGCTCGAGTGCTTTGGTACCTTTTGCCAGACGGCAGGGGAATTTAAACCGGAAGTGGATATAGCCTGAAGATTTCTACTGCGTGCCCTGCAAACCTTGCTGACAACCATAAAACCCAAAAAAAAAAAAAAAAAAAAAAAAAAAACCAACAACAAAAACCCCAATACTGTAACTCTTATTTATGTCTGTATTTGTTTCCAATTATAACACATTATCTGTTCAATCCAAATAATGTATTCATATTCACGGTCTGTGATCAACGCGTTAGTTGGACGGGGTTGGACATTCAGAGTCAGAGCCACCAGTTTCCACTCCCACGTTCATTCACAGGTCACTGCTGGCTTATCACTGAGGAGGTTACTGAGCAGCAAAGAAGTGCCTTTCCGACTCCGTTTGCATCCAAAGCCTGTTCATAAGGAAGCATAAACCATTAAACACTGTGTAGCTAGATTATATTTGCATTACTTGTACACCTCTGCTGTACTATAGCCTTGACCATAGTTATTCATTTTGTGTGTCCTAACTTTCTCCTGAAGAAACGAAACAAAGGATAAAAAGACACTAGAATTTCAGTCTTGATAAATGGGAAAGAAAAAAGAGAACATCGGTAATTGTGCTTTTTGTCATGAGGCCTCACCAGACTTCTGTCTTCTTTCAGGATTCCAGCATTGATTCCTTATTTACCTTTCTGTTACCTTTGCATCATCGTGAAAAAACGTCACCCTGTGTGTGTGCGTGCGTGCTGCATTTGCATGTGTGTGTGTGAGACATAAACTTCATCAGGGCTCTCAGTGGCAGCTCTGACAATTGTGGCCTTTTGTCCCACATCAATATGTATGAAACCTGGCACACAGATGCCTTGGCCAATCAGTTTGTGTCATTCCAGTCTTCCCTGCCACCATCAGCCTTCAGAGCCACACATCACTAAGGCCCAGACTCCCTGGGCACACTCATTGATCCGTAATGTCATTTTCACTTTCTATCTGGAATGGATAACACTGTCCAGTGGAGGTTTAGCTTGTCTAAAAGAGGGCAGTGCAGTTGTTTAATGATAAGGAGTGGTGCTTGTCTGAAACCGAGAAATGAAAATCTGTTATTTAGTCTTTGACATTTTGTCTTTGTTTAAGAAGTTATTACGTCAGCGTCAGTTTATCATAATATTACACCCTGAAATTCATGTTTTGAATGATGTATGCACAAAAACTATGGAATCCCCTTGACGGCAGTATATCCAAAAGAAAGGAATAGCTTTTTTGTTATAGCTTGTTTGTACAAAATATAAAGACTAAAATTCCATGGACGTAAAGGTAATTTAGTGCCAATTTGCTAAGTAAAGATGATGTCAAGTTATTTTTGTTTAACTCCCAATTAAATCGGGTCACAAATTGGGGGTCAATAGAGAAAAAAAATTTATCGAGTGAATACAAGAAGATTTATTACATGTTGCATGAAAAATCTCATTGACAATATTCCAGCATTGCAGGCTCTCAAGTAGTGCACCAAAAAAAGTGCTTGTCCTGTTGTTTGGAGACTGCGAGTTTAAATCCTTTGAGCAGTGGTAGCTCAGTGGTTAAGGCATTGGACTACTGATCGGAAGAGTTCAAATCCCAGCACTGCCAAGCTGCCATGTTGGGTCCTTGCTGTAACCCTCAACTGCTCAGATGTATAAAATGAGATAAATGTAAATTGCTCTGGATAAGGGTGTCTGCCAAATGCCATAAATGCAAAAGTAAATCCTGATGATGCCACAGCCATCTCTCTTGCCTGTCAATCACAGCAACACTTAGCCAATCATGGGAGTCTGTGAGCTCATGTATGTGGCAGAGGGTAGAAAGCGCTTTTCACTGAGTTTATTATGCTGCTGTATTACGCGTGATGATTTGTTAGCCTTCACCCTCCCCATTGGTAGCTGTCATATGATAGGGGAGAGCTGGATGGTGGAATTGGGGAGAAGTCCAACATTGCAATATGACTTAAAATAACAACTTGGCTAATTTTTGGACGTTCACTGGTACATGATGTGATGTCCCACTTCAACTGTGGCATCATCATACAGCTCCTCTTCTCTTTTTTCACTTTTTTTCTCTACCTCCAAAGCCACAATGAAAGGAATCTTTATTTCATCTTTATCGTAATTCATCATTTAGCCAGTGCTTTTTATGTAACAATTCCCAATTCCACTGACGTTTTGTGCTCTAACATTTTGTACTTGTTAAATTTGTTTGTTTTGTACTAACATTTTGTGCTCTTGGTATCACGCAGTACTTCATCCTCTCTAGAGATCTAGCTAATGTGCACTTCTTGTTCAATTGGGCTCCTTGTCCATTATTTTTAGGATTTGCTATACACTACTGTGATATGAAATGGCATTTTATAGGCTGGCAGCCAAATCATGTGGGTGGATCCCAGATTGCTGCAATGAGACAAATTTGCTGAGATAGTAAAGTACCATGTTAGTCAACCTCAGCACATTCCTACTTCTCATCTATATTCATATTTAGGGTTGTCACGGTGTCATGGTTTCAGGGTTAGTCACGGTGTATGATTGGACAGTCACCTGCTGATTTTAATGCTGATTAAAATGTATTTCCATCTTTTGCAGTTTTCCTATTCACTTTTTTTTTTTTTACTTGAGTTCCTTATTCCATCGGTTCTCATGTCCAGCTGTGACTCCCCAAAAGTTTCGCAAACCCATCCCTCTGGACTTGCCCTAAATCACATTACATTAACCTCCATTTCTCTGCAGAGAGTACATGGACTGCACTGAAAACCCTTTGGCTGTGTAATCTGCTACTGTTGTTAAAATGTTATTGCTACCGCTGCTGTCACTCCTACATATTCATAACATTATCATCATGCTATCAAACGCACAGAAGATCATGGCATTACTGACCAAAACTAAACAAGCCAAAATTCTTTGGCTAAGCAGCACTGCGCATTGCCTTGCTAGTTAGAATTTATTTTTTTGTTTGTTCATTTGTTTTAGTGTGTTGCCTTTCCTCGCAGCCAAAAGTGTACATTACATGGAAAAGTCATTACCAAAATTATATTTCTAAGAAAGAACAACAATTAGGGGATTTGATCAATTTGGTTGACTTTTTTTTTTTTTTAATTTATACAATAATGTGTAAAGAATGTCAGGTGGCGGGAACGGTGACAGTTGCAGGTTAAGATTCTTTATTTTAACTATGGCAGACAAATCCAGAACGTGGAGCTGAATCAAAGTCAGCAAGCAGGCAGAAGTCGGGCGATATGCAAACAGTTACTTGGGTAAGAGTCAAAGACATAAACCAGGAACCAGAAATGTAGCAAGTTATCATTAGTCTTGGCATGGGCATGTACGTGACACTGAGCGTATTCTTCGCAATGAACTGGTGGAATGAGTGTCCTTATTTACTGTGGCTGTGATTGCGTAATAGTCAAGGTGTGTACAATCAGAATGAGGGTGAATGTGAACGCGAGAGAGTTCATAATGGCAGTTGTAGTCGGCGGTCATGTTGCCTGATGTGAGAAGCAACACCGTTTCCGGCATTGACGTGACAGACACGTTTGTACAGCAATTTCATCATAACATTTTCTTCATTTTTTTTCCTTTAATTTCATCACCAGCTTGTTTTTAAATAGTCGATTAATACCATGATACTGTCGAACTGTAGTTTTCTTTAGACTAGGTTATCATGCTGTGAAAATTCATACTTGTAACACCGCTATTCATATTATATTAGTCTTAATTGCAAGTGCTTTTACTGACCACCTCGTGCTCTTAAAGTGCTACATAAGCAATAATTGCCAACCTTGGATGCATGAATTGCGCTCAGGTAATTTCAGTAATTTGAATTGGTCTTCCAGAAAATCAATTTAAGCACCCTCTTGAACAAGAGAAAGAACAAGACATTCATTCATAAGTGGCCAATGTGCAGTAAAGTCTGCAAGTTAACCCTTGATATAGCTTGATATATGTTTAAAATAACCCATCTGCTTTTCACTTGCAGTGTCCCAGATGGGTGTAGCGCAAGGACACAACATGTGCCTGGACCCCGGGATCCCAGACAGGGGGAAAAGAAAAGGCTCAGACTTCAGGTGAGAAATGATCACATGGATTGTTAATTAACAGACTAATTTCAGAAGAAAAGGATAAGAGACAAAAGAGGAATGCATTTAATTCAGTGTTTATTCTGTCTGCATGAAGAATGGCCTGAAATACTGGGGGTCGTCACCTGCTTAATTTCTCATTGGCCTTTTAATTCTCAAGGCTCATTGTGGATATTTGATCAGAATAAACATGACTTTGAGATCTCAAAGGTCAGATCGAGGGAAGAGAGAGTGAAGGGGAGAGAGTAGGAGATGACACACTGAGAGTCAGAGAGACAGACTCTGAGAATTGTAACACAGACAAATAGGGATGATCACTTTCACACGTACTACCTCCATTTTTACCAGAATGTTCTCTGCTACCTGAATGCTTCTCTGCCAAGTGATTAGTAATGGATAGCGCTCACTGCTGCCTCTGCACCAGCACAAACTCTGACCACTTGTCGGAAAAGAGTGAGTCACCGCTTAGGTCAAACAAGGCCAACACCGAGCTGGAGGTGGCAGATTTTTTCTCCCTGGAGGCGTCCTGGCTATCACACACTCACACGTGTGTGAAGGGTTTTAGACAGCAGGTGCTGAAGAGTTCAGTGTGTAAGTGAGGAGAATGAATGAAGCAGAGACACGCCGGAGGACTGATAGTGACTGATAGTACCTGGAATGTTCAGCAGCACTACGTTACAGTGTTATAGCTTTCTGTGTAAGGTTAAACCTTTTGAATGAACATCTGCCATTAAATATTGATGTTTCAGTTACATTGGAATAGATAGTAGTAACACTTTCTGTGGATCCTATATTCATAATGCATTATAAATACATTAATAATGTTATGTAGTTAGAAGGCTACTAAACTGTATCTACCTTGTTTTTGGTATGGTACATTCAGTTTTTATTTTCTTTTTTAGTCTGTATCTTTTACCTAGAAAGGTGCATGTAGTGTACCTTTAAAGCGCTAAGAATTAATTATGGTGCATTTGTAGCGCACTATATCCAGATTTCCACATATGCGTACTATATCCACATTTCCTGGTAAAAGACACAGTACATATTAAAGGTACAATGGATGTACCCTTATCACCACCCCAGTGCCAAAGAAAGGTGCAGTTTAGTACTCTTTTCTACATAAGTGTGCAATACCATTTAATGCTAATAATGCTAGTAGATCTAGTTACATGCACAACACTTTCTAAAGAATAAGTATGACTTCATGATGTCAGGATACATAAAGCATTATGTCTGTTCATAAGAACATTAAACACACACTATAGAACTGTGATTTAGTTCATTCTATATACTGTAAAAGGTACATATAACAGATATATTAAAGTTATATAACCACAGTGTTATGAAGTCGTCATACTCATACTTTATAAAGAGTAATGTATTTTATAAGCTTACTGGCTTAGAGGCGTTAAGCCTGGGCACACTAGACAAACAGATTTCCTTTCTGAGATATACATTTTTCATTTGTAGTTGGCCAGTGGAAAGTAGATTCAAGAACCAGAGAAAGAAAATAAACACTGCTTCCTGTTGACTTTTCATTTGCCTTTCATTTGGTGCATGTTAAAACGTATGCACTTCACAGTTTTGCAACACACCCCAATGCTCCAACTGGTGCATGCTTCTAAATTGGCCAATCGGGCTGACAGTAGAACGTTTTTTTTCTAGCTGAATTGATTGGCATGCACAAATGACAGGTGACCTTTGTTTTTTTTTAATCAGGAATGCTCAGGTATGTGGAAACACTGGTGAAACTGCAAAATAAAGTGCAGCGCAAAGCCGTCATATAACTCTCCTGCTAGCACAAAAAGCACAATGCGTCACTTCGAAGTTAAGCATATCGAGAGAAAATAAGGATGCCAGCCAGACTTGAATAATTAAATTGCGATGTAAGGAGAGAGCACCATAGTGGCTCATAGCAGAAATGTTCAGTAATGACCAGTGACTTTTTGTTGGTCACAGTGTGCGCAGTGTCGCAGGACTACGGCTACATAGTCGTCCCCTCTCCAGGAAATAATATGCTAGTTTATTTCCCTAAATCTATATTAATTTCTTTAACTAGCTATGTTGCCATACCATCACACTACATTAGCTACCATTTTTTTTTAAGCTGAGTTGACTACCCTTTTAGGTTTTTACATAAGCAAGATATAGTCATGTATTATACTGTATATGCTACATAAAATAATAGAAATTAATTTATAATAATTCAGTATTCATAGAAAGTGTTACCAGTTTTCTTCATTACTGGAAGATAAGCAGAGATGTTAATAATCATCTGAGCTTTTATGCCTTTCTGATTTGCAGACGTGGGGCCACAGTGCACTTCTCCTGTGATGAAGGCTATGAGCTGCAGGGCTCCAAGAGCATAACCTGCATGCGTGTGACTGACAACTACGTGGGCTGGAGTGATGACCGACCCATCTGTAGAGGTACCACTGTGCTCAACGCTGAATTTCTATCATGTAGAAAACCTCCCACATGCTTTACATGTGCTTTATATGGCTTATATAACACAGAAAGGACACA